CCTCCGAAGGTGAAAGGTGCCAAACAAATGTAATTTGCTGTTGTTGTTTTCTAAAGTAGGAGTGCAAAACCAAAGGGTGAATTGAATGCTCCACCTTGTGGCCTAAACAAGAAAATCCTCCTAAATACATTTCAGCTTGTATTACTTTTAATATTAATCCTTGCATTTGCTCTATTGCCTGTGACGTCAAAACACCAATATCTCAAAGTACTTCACAAGCATTTGTTTCCAAGCGTACTGACTATTTACATGCAAACGTGGCAGACAATTTGCGTCATAACAAGATCTCACAACAGTTACACTGTTGGGAGTCGTCCAGATTTTCTGTTCTTCTCTTCTGTTCTTCATTCCAGCAAACATCACAATTTCTTGAACATCCCTCATCACTTCTAATGGGGTCCTCAAGAGTAAAAAAAATGACATGAATCACTACTTCTAAATTTTCTGCAATTCTTAAAAAGATAGCAATAGTGAAGACAACGTCTTTATAGTTGGAGTGTAGATGCTTTTGTTTTTACAAAGTTCAGGTTTTTGGAGTGTAAACAGCAAACAATAAGAATCTTGAACAAATTTATTCATTAGACATTGCAAGAACATTTCTTACCAACTTGGAGATTTTAAAATACAGGCAGTAAAAGTGGGCACTTCCAATCTTTTTTTTTTTTACAGAGAGCAAATATTTCCCTTCAATTTATACGATCTATAGCAAAATAAAGTCAGAAATGCATTATTACTAGGGGATAGATTTTCTATTGCATTAAAAACGTCACCAGAGTCTCGAGAAAGTTGGGGTTTTCAGGGCTTTTGTGATTTCATGGTTACTTTTTTATGATGTCACAATTTTGCCCCTAGCCCAGAAATTCTATTTCATAACAAGGAAAACATTGGGTGTAGCATCATCAATTTAAGATCTGGGATTGAATATAGTTCAGTCTTCGACGAGAAATAAATGTTTTAAATATGAGTGAAATAAGCATGTAAGTAAAACCAATTATTTGTAACATGTACCATTATGACAAGTACATTTGTAGATTTTCGCAAGTGTCTGCTTCACAGCGCTTTTACAAACCGCTTATATGGTTTCACTTTGTTAAAACTAGACAATGAAATGCTTATGAAAATATTTAACATGAATTAGTTGTACACTTTTGAAAAATGGCTCAATTTTAGAAATGTTGAAAATAGTATTTGATTCACAACAATTCTAAAAGTGATCCCTTTATAATACTTTAACAAACAAATTGAATCACTTTTCAAAAACAGTCGAGATCTAATTTGAAGGGATAAATCAATGAATTGAAAATTATGAACATATATTTTGCAGGAAAGAGGAAGCGATAGCAATCTCCATGAGTAAGATAACTGAAGCCATAAAGCAACATGACTTTAATTGTACAAATGCCTCGAATGTGGATGGAGACCATGCTGCAGGTGTTAGTTTTGAAAAACAAGTTTATTCTGATCCAGTACAAACAAAGTGTGAAGAAACACATACTCACAAAGGACCAGTAGGTTTGTACAGATGGCAGTGGAGAATTTTTTAAATGAAAATCCCCAATAAGATCACTTTAATTAAGATTAAACATTTCAAGTGTTACATTCTGCTCTCATTATCCAGTTTTGATTTATTGGAATAGGCTACTGCAATTTTAGATTTCAAGGATAACGTGTTAACTCTCATTTATTCAAGGGTGACAAAGGATAGAGGACTAGGGTAAAAAAAAATTAGGAACTATTTGAATATTGCCTTCACAATGTAGTGGAACTCGGATAACTCGGCCCTGGTATAAATCGTCAATCTCAAGTAACTCGTCAACTAACTCAATTTCTTCATGCACTCCTTTTCTGTTTCACAGTATTTGTTCTGATAATAACAATTTGCATTTGTATAGTGCCCTTCACAGGGGCAGCGTCCCAAAGCACTTGACAGTGGTGACAGAGTCTGACCCCGAGCCAGGGGAAGAGGGCAGGGGGAGGTGACCGTAAGCACGATCAAAAAAGAAAGTCTTTAGGCGGGATTTGAAAGTGAGGAGGGAGGGTGCAAGGCGGAGGGATTGGGGGAGGGAGTTCCAGAGCTTCGGGACGTAGTGACGGAAAGCACGGCTGCCGATAGTAGAAGAGAGGGCTAGGGACAAACAGAAGGCCAGAGCCAGCCGAGCGGAGGCAGAGGGTGGTGGAGTGGGGGGTAAGCAAATCAGATAGGTAGGGAGGTGCAAGGGCACAAAGGGATTTGGTAACTATTTTTTATGCAAACATTTCTCAAACGGCATTTTCTCAAACTTCCTATCTCTCCCATTTTCCTTCATCTATTTGGATGCTTTTGTTTTCCTTCGTTTGAAATTGAAAATACTATTTTATTACCGTTGTCTTTTTCTGCACCATCCTTGATTTGGTATACAGTGAAACTCTCATAACCCGTCACCCAAAGTACAGTATCTCGAAAGTATAAAGTACTCGAATCGATATAGGATGGAAGTTTCTAAATCTCTTTGTGTTTTTAAAATTCAAAACTCAGAAAAAGTACATTAAGACATAAGGATCTATTATTTGGCACCAAAAGTTGAAAACAAAATGCAATAAAGAAATGCTTTGTTTGTTTGTTGTTAATAATGTACTGCTTACATTGCTATTTTCTTTTGCAGATTTGGATGCTATTTTCAACTTGGAACAACCACAATTACAAATTTATCCCACACCCCTGTTTGAAAAGCCTAGATGCCCAAATAAAAGGCTGCCATCAAAGCAGCCCTTACACTTGCACAAAACACAAGTAAGTTTTACTCTCAGAGAATAGCAATTAGTTTCATTTTAAGAAGTCTTTTGAGAAGAATATGAATTGAGAAGAATATTTCTCTTTATTCTATAAAATACTGACAAAAGCATTTTTTTTATTGATGGATTTGTTACTAAAACTCAATTTGTTGCTGACTTCAGTACTGATATAGCTCTTTCCCACAACAAGCAACTTTCTAATCTGCTCTAGCCTATTGAATATACAGGATTGAGATTAAATTTTATATAAATAATTCATATAAATGCACTTTGTGAAGCAAAGCTTCTTATTTTCTTAATAATAAAGCATCTCTTTTGCATAAATTTGAAGGAATTTTTACCAGAAAAATCCACACAAGACAAGGCAGAGGTCTTGAAGCCTGGAAATTACAAACCATTCGTGATTGAAAACAAGTTTAAACCAACAGAACCTGGATATCAATATTTAAAAATTGGTGGAATGAGAGTCCTTCCAGTGCCTGTCCCAGGACCAATGTTCTGGTCTGAGGAAAATAAATGATCAATTGAGCCGAAAAATAACTTGTGCGGAGTCGTTTCCTTTCCGTGTATTGCACAGTATAAATTTGTTGCTGCAATCAGCACTTTCCAGTTTCTGTGAGATTATTAACTCATATTTTCAGATAAAATTAAAATAAAATGTTCAATACAATAGTTTTCCTTGTTCGGGTAATAGGTATATTTCATTCATTCCTAGTGAGCAATAGAGGAGGTCAGTGGTTGTCAAGTGATGGCTTTTGTAGGAAACCATGGCAGCAATCGGACAATCACAACAAGAAGTGGGTCTTTATGGACTATTAATAGTTAACAGATGAACATCAAAGGATTAAACACAAACATGAATAGAGCTGATAACATTTACTGTGGCAGGATATTCACATTCAGTGACATTCACTCAAATATAATCGAATTTTGGGGATACTTCCAATAATTGTGAGGTCAGGCTTCTATTTAGATAGATTCATATTTATAGGAACAATGTTTTCATTAGTCAATCAGTGTTGGGAACAGATCTTTGCTCATTAACAAGCTGTTACTTTCTCAGGATGGCTGTTGTAGTTCCTCCTTTACCACAGCTACATCAACACATTTTGTTTGCAGTGCCTGAAAATATCAACATTGGTATTTTGCTGTGATAGATGATCTGTTTCAGTTTTCCTCTATATTTAAGATCCTTTAAAACTTTAGCATATTATTAGAAAATGCACAGTATATATGGTTTTCACTCAAATCACCACCCATATAGTTGATATCGGATGGTCCCATCCTCCGACTCTTTCGCCAGCAATTTAGAAGTTCTTAGGCCATCTTCTCTCTTCCACTTGGTTTCTTATCGACATCAATAAATTCAACAAACAACATTATCCAATTCTTTCCACTTTTCACAATGCATGCCTCATTGTTCTCTCAGTGCAGTGACTGGATCAGTAATTTGACTGCCTTCACATCCTCTGATGGAGCAGTAAAATTGTTCTTCATTTCAATTCTTCAAAGTAAGTTTCTTTACATTTCTCAAAAATTAACCAATAGATACTCTGCCTCTTACCTTTGATGCCCTTGCTCTTTATCTTTCTTCACCTACGGATTCTCTTGGTGTCAACATAAAGGGTTGGAAACCATTTGAGCCTTTCTTCTGAAAGCATTTCTCATAAATGAAGAAGTTCCTTGCTTTCATAATTTATTTACTGTAGTTTTGTAATATTCAGGGATGATACTTGGGCAAAATAGAATTTTGTTTAAAAAAAGGCTGGGATGACTCGTTAAAAGATGTTTGTCTAATTTAGCCAACAATATAGAGGGAATTGATAAATAAGATTATAATTAAGTTGAGAGATTTGTTTATATTATCCATATTAGTGAGTTTGGTCACTATAAATTAAAAAAAAATACATTTGTCTCAAACACAAGTTTAACCCTAGGGAAGTGGAAAGAGATTTATCCAAATCGATAAACATCTTTTGGAGTCGATCTTCAGGTCTTTTTTAACCCTAATCTTGGCAATGAATTAAAAAGTGCAACGTTATTTGTAGTCTGCCATTTACAGTGATATTTGGTTTCAGACCTTAGCATGTTCCACTTAGCATCAAATCCATCTGAATTTAAGACATGCAGGTATATGAATAGTATTAACTTTTCTAAAAAAAAATCCTTATTGAAACAATGTACAATCACATCTTAACAAGAACAGAATAGATAAAAGTGAATAAGGATAGTTGAAATGTCTTAGCTTTATTGTAGTTTTCCATTTACTTATGGCGGAGTTCTAAATCAAATACACAGATGATTCTTGGTTGATTTTAAAAAAGACAGTGACGAGATTATTGAAAAAAATAATGCAGCTTTAATTTGGCCATACCAAATTCCATCATTAGCTACCTCCATTCTCATAAATCACAAAAATTAAGATTAAAATGGTATTATGTTGAACATGAAGATGACGTACATCAGAATTCTTGTGTAATGTTAATGTTTCCATGTGTCTGTTCAGAAATAATCTTGCAATACTTGTGCCTTGAGTTAGCTTTTCCATTGGTTAACATGTATCTCTCATAAGTGTTACCATTTTTTTAGATTTCACAGTGAGACCTAAACAGTAAAGATGATTTATTTCCCCAAAATGTATCCCTCAGATATTCTATACATATTTACAATAATGCAGAAATTCGACGACTATATATTATGTATATATAGCAATTTCTGGAAAAATGGAAAACCAAATAAAGGACATTTGTGTCGAAGCAATATTTAAGGCTGTCAGACAACTCAAGTGATGTGCAATATGACATTTTAATGATAATATATAAATTGACCTCAAAATAAACTTTATCTAAAAGTACTGTATTTCTTGAAAATGAAAGTAAATAAATAAAATACAAAGTTTAATTAGACAACGTCTCAGAACAAGATCGCATAAAGCAAAACCACTTTCTTCGCTGTTCACGATGATGCCCTGAATAGAACCGTTATGCCCTTTTGAACACAGTACATATATGAGTAATGGTTTATCAGGATATAAACCTGTGTGAAACTTTAACTTTACATTTTTAAGTGTGATGAATGTCCACTGCAACACTCCCAGGATAATTGATATAAATCTCATTTCATTCTCTGGTCATCCAAATCCTTCAAATCCAGATGTGGTAACTTGATATTCAATTTCCCAATAATCAAAAGTAAAAAAAAAATAAAAGCAAAAATGTTTATACAACCACTGGGATCTTGCCGCATTCAAGTCGATTGAAAAAGTCACATATTGCCAGTTCATATCATTTCATAAGTCTGTTGAGGTAAGCTTTTTCATAACTCTCCGTTGGGCTAAACTTGAAGCTGCAACTGGTTCTAACACTGGACGAAATGTCTTGTGGTTGAGGGCAGAATATGTAGCGGCCATAGCGCCCTGAGTTGGGAGTACAAATCTTCATTAGGAATCACAACAACAACAACTTGCATTTATATAGCGCTCCTCCCAGAGCGCTTGACAATGGCGTAACATGAGCATAAGAACATCAAGACTGCTGATTTTTTTTGGTCTGTTGCATTTAAATGGCGTAATTACTCATGAACTAAGACTTTGCATTCATGAAGCTTAAGACATTTTCCAAATTATTTTAGGGACAGACAATTATATCAGGAGGGAAAGTAAAGGCAGAAAGGGGGTGAACTGTCATTGAAACCATACTGTTAACTGAAATATTAATCTTTTGAAAGTTTGCAAACTTTCCAGACATATGTGATGTTAGAATTGCTGGTTATAATTTATATAACTAGAATAAAACATGTCTGCTACATACAGAAGAAAGCTTCAAATATATATTTCCCAAGTCATTGGCTTTCAACTTATGTTAGAAAAAAAAGCACCATGAAGAGAAATTAGTGATATTGGTTCTTTTCTTTAAAGTTTTTCAAAAGCCAAGGCACCAGCACCTTCTTTTTTCAAATCACTTGATTGCTACAAAACGTGAAGCACTGCTAACAAACATATCATAACTCAGCATTTGCAAACTCATGCTACCTTTAACTTGATTTTATTCGCGTACATTTCCAATAGGATGCAATCTTTCTGAGAAAAAGAAAACATGGATTCCTGAATTTATTTATCTTCAACATTTGGAAGATATTACCTTTTAATCTCGTGGCAATATATATGGGTAATAAAAGCTATTAAATTTGGGAATTAGTGTGAATGTAACACCATTCCATCTGCCACCATTATTTGAACCTACCTTTACCAGATGAGGTGCATCCTGTCGATTTAGTTGGAAATGTGGTAGCTGATCCCGGCAAGCAATCCAGGGATGTTTGAGAACCTGCTCAGCTGTAAACCTCTGATGGGGATCTACATGAAGCATGTGCGACAACAAATCCTGTATTTTTGAACAAATGGAATTGAAAGAAGAGCAAATTAAAGAAAAGTGGAAACAAAATAATATACCCAATGTAAGTGGAACACTAAAACCTAAAGATGAACTCTTTCCAATACAGGCCCCTCCAGCAGTTGCCACTGTGAGTGGGAACCCTAATTGATTTAACCCAATGTGCTGAGCCATTAGTAGTTTGAGTGGCACCTCGGCTGAGATTGACTCAGTTCAGAAGAGATCAAACCTGGAACCTTACTGATGAACTTTCAGTGAACAAGAACCTGAGAACTTTCAAAACTAAACGCCTTCTCCAAATGACATTTCACCTGTAACTGGAGTCACCTATCTTCAGGATCTCAAGATCAATATCCACCTAAGCATAAATTTCCAGAAGTCTGGACTTTGATGGACCCATCAATTACATTTTCAAAGGAGCTCCTGGTAAATTATGAATAAAGAAGCATTTTATGCCAGTTCTGATAAACTGTGAAACATCACAGGGTAGGAAATGTTTGGTGCTTAATAAACATTATGTGAATATTGTGAAAGGCTTCCCTCCTCATCATTCCAAGTGCCCTTAGTGAGTCAGGTCTGGATAATTTCATCCCAAGTCTCAGTGGATTTGAGATAACACTAAACTATCAATAATTCAGCATTAACCAGGCAATCTCACTCATAGTAATGAGGCAAAAGCAGTTACTCCAAGACTGGGTTTGTGGAATGCTGTTGCAGCATAGAAAAATTGTGCTTCTGATCTGAACTGCACCAGATTAGACTTGCAACTGCATAATAGCTGCAAAGAGGACATTACTTCATTCCATAGAACTGTTTTTGCTCACCTTAGCCTTACTAGAACAGTTCTGACAGGCACCTTACATTCACATAAGTTACACCCCACACAAAACTGTAAGAAAAATGAACTTGGAACATGTTCATTTAACTGGCTAATGATTAAGCTTTTTTTTGGTGTGTCAGTCATCATACTTGTACACAACAATTTAAGTGTTACTGTAATATATCTATTTAGTCCTAAAAAGTCTTACCTTTGCTGCATCTGAGACGGTATCCCAGTTACCTCCACTCAATGAAAAGTTGCCACTTCCTATTCGTAATAAAATTTCTTCTGGGGTATCATTGGGTCCATTGGCAAAAGGAGTATAGCTATTGCAAAAATAATGGGAAAAAATATTTCAGTATGAATCACCAATTTAAAAAAACTAACTGGACTGCTGGTCATATACATTTATACACCAACTTCCCAATACATGTTAAAAGCTTGGAAAATAGCCAGGAAAGCTGATAAATTCAATGTTAGTTGTGTTATAATAAATCAATATTTTATGTCTCTATTGATAATTTGCTTAATATATCAGTGGCAAGATCATTCTGAACATCTCTTCATTCACTTCTTAAGAGTGGTGCAACTGTCCTGTGACAGCATTAGTCATTGCCTGGGCCAACATAAAAGTGCAGCCGCAATTTTTCAGCGGAATCTGCTACACCCCCGCTCCCACTCCGCTACTGCCGGCCCCCACTCCGCTACTGCCCGCCCTCCTACACGCACACACATCCCCCTCTGCTAGACACAGCCCCCCCTCCGCTTCACACACCTTAACTCTCACCCCTTCTGCTACAAACCTCGATATACTACAAACCTGTAAAAACACAAGTGTGCTCAGGGCCCCAGACCTCTGATCACTGCTGCCGGATGTTGCGGCGCGAGCGGGAAATGGGCTTCGCTCACCCTGAGGCAGCGTTGTTGAGATTTTGTGTAGGTGAGTGTGGAAATTTAGCAAATTTCCCCGCAATTTTTTAATGGCCCTGATCATTGCATTGCACTCTATGGCCTTGTGTCCAATCTTTCACTGTGTATTGTGTGAAGACATTATTGCTCAGTTGAATCATAAACCTGGCTTCCTATCCAGTTAAATTTAATGAAAACAAATAGAATTAATAGTTAGTACGGGAGCCCTACATATCCATAATTCACTTTACTTAATGGGGAAAAACTAGTAACTGACAGGCTTTCGTCCACCACACATATAATGTTCTATTTACTGCGAATTAGAAGGTCTGGAGGGAATACTTTTTGTTCAAATTATTACCAACAAGAAACAGAGAAAATAAAACTGTAAGAAATCCATATATACTCTACTATGAGGCCAATCAAAAGTCCCCTGACCCACTGAGCTCAGTCCACTAATAACACACGTCACTAAGTGGTCTAACGCAAGAGGAAGCAGGACTAGGTGCCTTGTTAAAGTGAAGAAGCCTATCAGCCTCTATTAAATGTTTTGATGAAGTAATTTCAAAAACCGTAATTAATCCACCTCTTTCCGATTATGATCAACTTTCTGTATATTTACACTATTTTCTGGTTGTATTTCAGATTTCCAACATTCTTCTTTCTTCCCCCATAAATGCAGCTCTTGTATTTTGAGTCCTACTCACCCAGCTAGCATTGTGTACAGGAGCACGCCGAGACTCCAGATATCACAGGCAGCGTCATAACCCTGTCGCATAAGAACCTAAAAACAAAGATCACCGACTATAAGATTCCGTACAATAATAACCCATGCATTTGATATCACGTCTTCGAGATTTCTCCAAGAGCTTCACAGAATACAAGAGCGAAATCTGAATGATAGTTTATATATCTATATATGCTCCTTATTCTTCATGAGTCCCTGAACCCAAATATTATTTGTAAATTCATTTCCAGTCTGATTTTCTCTCATTAAAAAAAATGTTGTGCAATTGAACACATAAAAGTACATTAAACAATTAATTTCTAAGTTTCTCACGGGCATGATGGAGGCACGCTGTTAACAAATGAAGGCAAATAAAAATATAAAGTATGGTAACTGTCGATTTTATCTTCCTTTTAGATCTTACTGTTCCATCCCCGTATTTGCTCCAAGAAAGTACCTCAAGGGAAACTACCAATTTGCATTAAAAACAGTTGTGACGGTCCTACACTTTTGGAACATCTTTGATTATATTCAGTGACTGGTAGTTACAAATAACCCATTTTCTCAAGCACTGCCAGGATGCTATGTTACATCTGAGAGCCTCATCTCGTAATTAAAACAAATACACATCATCAAAAGGTAGCAAAGTTGGAATGTAACTGTACCTCGGGAGCTACAAAGTTAGCTGTGTAACACGGAGTCATGAGGAGTCCATTTTCACCACGCAGCTGTTTTGCAAACCCAAAGTCACATATCCGGATGGATTCAGGATCACCAGATTCGTTCATATACAAAATATTACTTGGCTTTAAATCTCTGTGCACAACCTATGAAGACAAAGATTTTAACAGCTTACACATTCTTTTTTGATCAGCCAGATCTGACTCAACACATCATCATGCTTAAGCGTACGCAAATCAGACTGCACATATAATAATTTACTTGCATTTGACATAGTCCCTTATCACATCTTTGAGACGTCGCAAAGTGCTTCACAGAATATACTGATGCATACGAGTTAAACATTCAAATCTTCCCATTTCTGCAAGGCAATGTGCAATTTCTCCCTGGAGACCCCTGTCCATCTAATTTTTGAAAGTATTTGGAAGTATTAGGTTGACAAAAACCAAGGTTTGTGGAGCCCAGAGTGCGTGTTGGGATACTGTAGGGAGTTCAACCGGCTTAAACCTTTCTTCAAATCGCAAATTACCAACCATTTTTTATAAGTCTCTGTAAATATAGGTTTTAAACAAATGCAACGATAAGGTCCAAATAAATACAAATGATTTAAGTACTGCTTGGCGACATTCCAGGTGGTTAAAAAACACAAAGCAAAATCTTCTGATGTGGAAAGATGGAACGTGCACATCAGCATTGCAAAGTGACACAAAAATAGTTTAAAGCCAGATGGTTATGAGCACGAGTGGCAAATGTTCACAGTTATAATCTCCAACAGGCGCTTACCCCTTGACAATGCAGATAGTCCACAGTTTTTGTTATTGTGAATAATACAGCACTGGCTTCTCGTTCTGAAAAGTACTTTTGTCTGAGGATTCTGTCGAGCAGCTCACCACCTTTGAGTAATTCAGTGACTAAATAAACATAACGTCCGTCATCATACACCTATGATTACAGACAAGTCACTGTTTATTTATAAATACTTCATATTAAAATGAAAATAGAGCATCAACTCAAATTCTCAGTAACATATGTGCAAAAAAAGGTAAATGCTCAAGCAAAAGAATTACAGGATTAACATTTTGATAGAAATATAAATTTGAGAGAAACATGGAAAGTGTTTGTTAATATAATTTTGGCAATAGAAGACAAAGATCACTATTTTCTCATGCAAAGGTCATTATTTATCATATATTATATATATATTAGTTATTTTCTCCATGTTTGGTTTTCAATTTAGCCACACACTATCCCTCAGCTAAGAAGGCAAGAAGCTGAGCTATTCCCCAACAATTCCAACAGCTGCAAGGATTCACAAGAGAGACTTGCTCTTAAATCTTCTCTCCTTTCTTCTAGGAAACCGATTAGTTAGCACCTGATCTGTATTACACCTGGATAGCAATTGCGCTTTCAACATTCTTTTATTTGTGTGAACTGATTAAAATGAGGGAAACGACTGAAACAAGGTGATAAAATAAGGGAAAATTAGGGAATATTGTGAATAATATCTTTTTCTGCTTCGTGTTCAATATTTGCCCAATTGTAGCATTACACCTTCACACTTTCTTGCAATACATCTTAATCACAAGGTTAGGAGGAAAGAGGGAGAGCAAATTCAATCTCATTTTACATCACCTAATTTGAGAAAGATTGAATACCAACTCACCTTTTCCCTACTCTTTTTGTGCCTAGAAAATAACACCTTTTTTTCCCAAAACACACAGATGTTTTTAATTTTCCAAAATTACCAACCTTCAAGCTATAATTTACTTCTTACAACTGACAAATATACCATTTCTAGGTGCTATCATGACTTGTCATTAAGTGTAAAACATTATATCCCATATTGCCAGGGGTTTGTTGAAATGAAGATTCTACAATGCAAAAATAAACAGCTGCCAATATGGCCTGCTAAATAAAATGTCTATTAATCTTTCAGAAAACAAATATGCAGTATTCAAATAAAATGAAGCCAACTTACATCTTTCAAAGTAATGATATTTGGATGTTGTCCATAACGCATTAGTATCTCGGTTTCTTCTGAAGGATCTCGTTTACTCTTATCAATTATCTGCAGATTTAAAATAAGCAATGGTTAACCAGGGCAAGCAGAAACAACTAAAATAATTGTTAGCCCTTAATGATCATAACTGTAGATTAGTTTAAGTTCACTCACTACACTTACACAATACTGTACCTTTACTGCCCTCTTGTGTCTGTTACTGCCAAATGCAGTAGCAGCTCAAAAACACTATCTTAAAAGTTAATAGCATTTTAATTGCAGTGGATATGGATAGATATATTCAAAAGCAAATCTTTACCAAGTCTAATACTTTCTAGTGATTGTGCCTTTATATATTCTTTCTTTTCAATTTTCTATTAAATTTGCCTCACAAGAAAAAGTAGATTCTGACCAGTAAACAAGGCAACTGTAGGGAGTGAGATATAAGATCATAAGAAAGCATTTGAAACATTAAGGTTGCTCTTCCCGAGGATCACTTAAAAAAAGTCTACCTAATTATAGACTTCTTCACATACTAGGTAGGGAAACTTTTTTGGGGGGATTCTCACTTTGAACCTCAAAGCAAATGGAGTCCTGTCGCTCAGTGGTTAGAGCACTCGCTTTACAAGCGAGAGACCGGAGTTCAATTCCAGGCAGGGCGAAACCTTGGGCAAGTTTCCTTACTCCACTATACTATACTAAATGCGTTTTATTGCTATTTACTTGATCACCTTCAATAATAAATAATAATAATCCTTGCATTTGATATAGCGCTTTTCACGTCGGTAGGACGTCCCAAAGCGCTTCACAGAACATACTGTAAAGTAAATTGACTGTATATTTGTGGGCGAACGCGGCAGCCAATTGCGCACAGCAATGTCCCACAAACTGTCGTAGATTGAAAATGACCAATTTATTATTGTCTTTGGTTTTGGAGGGATTATTATTAGGCGTGTGGAGTAAGGAAACTTGCCCAAGGTTTCGCCCTGCCTGGAATTGAACTCAGGTCTCTTGCTTGCAAAGCGAGTGCTCTAACCACTGAGCTATAGGACTCCACATCGTGCCATAGTATAGTGGAAGTCCTATACTGCATATAGGAACAGTAGAGGGTAGAGGCACTACCTTGGGAGCTTTACTTGACCTCCATTGAATGGAGTGCAGGTATGAACACTACATACAAAAAAAGCAAAGCTTCAATGCTAAGAGGACAAAACTCTACAAAAGCCCCAAACCCAAACGTTATACTATAAACATCCCAATAAAGTGTAATGCTCAATAAATATAATTCGATGAATACAACAACAACAAGATTCCATTTATAGAGCGCCTTTCACGTCGGGAGGACGTCCCAAAGCGCTGTACAGTTGGGTCAGAATAGCAAACATTCCTAAACTACCTTGACTGCAAACTCCATGCTTGTAGCTCTGTGAATGCAACGCTTGCAGACCGAGTAGGAGCCAACACCTATGTCTTCTTTTAACTCGTATCCATCACTAAACTGCATGCTGTTGCCATGTAGCTGTTTCATCACACAACAAAAAATATGTTGAAGTTACACCTTTGTGAATCTGATCTGATCACACATTCTTGCATACCAACAAGATTAGTTTAAAAATTAAACAGCAATTACCCAGCATTAGTTATATCTTATATTGTTATTGTTTGATTTCAAGAGCAGAGAAACTTTAAATTGTACCAGAGATTGGTTATACCTGTACAATAGGGTGCACAGTTGTGAGAGGAGTGCTTTGGCTTTCTTCTACTGGATTAGGTGCCACAAAACTGAATCCTCTGAACAGCTGGTGTGCATTAGCACTTGGTGGAATGCCAGGTGAATCTAAATAATAATAGTTTGTCATTTACTTCACTGATAACATTAAGTTAAGATTCTTTGTACAAATTTGATTAAAAATTCAATATTGGTTGATATACCACTGAAGTGGAAAAGTCAGTATTGTAACACAGGCACAATTCCCAGCAAAGAACGTTGACTTTGAAAGTTTGGTTAAAATGTGATTATGTATTGTTTACATTATTCATGTGAAAAACAATCATCAACTGACAAATGAGTAGTGGGCTGCCATACAACATAAACCCCTCCATAAAATATATACATGTTGCGAAAAGCCAGTCTTGGCATCAGAAGATAAATCCTTTTAAAAGCTCTTTACGTCAGATCGGTTTGCAATCTTACCCTTTCCCATGCCATATGAATTGCCTCCAAAAACACAATTTCAGATATATTTGTCAAAGAGAAAAAATTTACTTTTTTTCCATTTTCAAACGTGTTTGAAAATGGAAAAATTTATATGTTTTAACAAAGAGTATGTGTAGAAATGTTTTCATTTTTAGTAGTCCCTGTAGAAGCAGCCTCATACATTTGATAATTTAGGGCTACAAAGTTGGGAAACCATCGTTCAATCATTTAAAAAAACATTCTGTGTATGGTTAGAAAGCATCCAGACAGGTTAACACAAAGAATGAGAGCAACAGTATGGCAGATTAGACAAAAAAAAAAATTCTTAATACTTTATTTTATGTATTTAATGAAAGAGAAAGATATTTTACTGAAATATCACACAATCTGAAATTTCATTAGTGAGTACTTGACTGTAATTCTCAGTACTCTCTTGTTTTTGTGCACCGTGCTTCAAACAGCCAATAAGAGGCAGCCTAAGAGCACTTATTGCAGGTGAAAAGCACTGTTCAACATCATGAAGCTACTCTCACTGCTGCTATGAATGCACGCTGTATACACCCACAAAATACAGTCAATTCACTTTATAGTATATTCTGTGAAGTGCTTTGAGACATCTCAAAAGTTTGTTAAATTCTGCTCCCAGACTGCAGCTGACCACCAATTCAAAAGCATAAAACACAAGTGCAAGGAGCACAGACACAAACTAGATCCCTTTATATTATTCTTGATTTTTGCCAACTGAGTGCAATACACTGCCTTTCCAAAAGTCTTGCGCAGACCCAACATTATGCAAGTTTGTGGAGAAAGGCAAAAAGATGGAATAAGTCAAATGGAGCTAAAATATTTACTTTTATCACTGCAACCACCATTAAACTACTGTGATAAACACGTTTATGAAATTAACAACTGTTGTAACTGATTTGAAGGCTTTGCTTCCTTGTCCACCACAATAATTTCTACACTAATATAGTGGCCATGCATATTTAACAGAGGTCTGGCATGTTGAATTACATAAATGATTTCAGCCATAACCCTATGAAACCATTTTGGTTTCCAGGAATGAAGGACAATAAATTTTCCTAACAATTCAGTAAACATCCTGACAAAAAGTCTATTTCTCTAACAGACCATGTAGGGACTTTGAAACCTTTTTGGTTTCCAGCAGTACAATGCTAGGGGAACACATATTCTTGTAATTCCTTGCAATTCAAGGTATATATAATATATATATAGCTCAATTCGAAATAAATAGAACTTTAAAGAACTTCAATATATTGAGTTAGAAGACTGGGTACTGAACAGTTTTTTTTGCCTCCCCGTTGAATTGGAGGACCTACCTGAAGATATTGTGTCTTGAGATTAAGCAATCCTACACTGAGAATCCTTACATTAGATATACCACTTTTCACGTGGGGATGTATCAAAACTCATGTTTATTCATAGCACAAGAAGCAAAACAAATCAATATATTTCAATTAATTTACACACGGGCACAATTAAGTTTACCTTTTGGTGTTTTAGCTGTAAATTCTGGATCAAAACAGAAAGTATCTTCTGGTTTACCAGAAGCAGGTTTAAATGGAGGCTGAATTTCCTTTCTGACCAGTTTCTGAGAAAACAAGAAAATGCTCAGCTTTTATATGTTGCAGGCAGATTAATGACTGGAAGTTATTCTAGTGTAGAACTATAAATAGTCAGGTATGCAATTCTATTTTCTACCTGTGATTTACTTTCCTAAAGTGAAATATACTTTCAGCTTGGCTTTATACAATTCTAACACATCTTCCTCAACATCCAAAGATGAAATGTTCTAACTCAGCTTTGCCGTACAATTTTTTCCTCTCCTTGATAAATGTAAAATCTATTAATATTGAACTATGCTCAAGCTGCAACTCTAGAATAAACAGGATACCCATATCGTCAAGAATAACTCCTGCTGCGAGCATGATATAGATTAAATACATCAGCAATTTTGGAGGAAGAATAATTTTGTGTAAACAATGAATTAAAAGCTAAGAAATTTACATTTTAGCTTTGGGGTTTTCAGAAGTAAAAACCATTACATTTAACAGCTTTGTGACCTTGATCTTGCTTGTTGGAATGGGAAACACCTACATTCCAGTCAATGGTAGAAAAGAATGGATGCCTTTTGATCTCTTCAACTCCATCTGGGCCAGCTCCTATAAGAATTGAGAATGACAAGATGTATATTTGCTACTTCAGTTGTAGGAACATATAAATTAATCTTCCAATATCCAGCTCAGCGTTATAGGTACACTGGTTACAGAGAATGAACAAAGCTCAATAAAAGGACATCATTTCACTCTCCGTTTTTAAGGAGTACAGATTCCAAAATGTTAACATAAAACTTGTAGAAATGACTAACTTTAAAGTGTTTCTTCAGCGGACAAAACTAACAATTCAAGCAGGCAAAGAAAGTCATAACTTCCCCTCAATTACAACAAAATGTCCCATAAACAACATAGTTCTACATTAAATGCCTGAAAATAACAGGAAAATATGTAATAAGCAAATAGATAGTGATATAATTTGAAAGAATACCTAGTCTGTTTGTAGGATTTCTCTTGAATAACATTCGGAGAAGACTTTGAGCTTCTGGACTAAGAAACTGAGGCATTCCTAGTTTAGCTCTTGAAAAATAAAGAAAAGGAATTTAACATGTACAAAAATATATAAAATATTGTACTGCAGTCTTTTATGTAAATTGAATGGAAGCTTTTTTTTAGTATTTTCTTCACAATCTGAGAACATTCTTGGCTATTTCAATACCAATGATGGATTTTCTTTGTTGCCACAAAAAATGGTCAGGAAACTAACTTTGGGAAGGTAGTCCTGGACATTTTCCTTTAGGCTAATGTGATGCCGGTTGTTTCATGCAGATAAACACTATTTGCTTTACACAAAAGTATGGCCAAAAACTTACTTGAGTATCATGTTCATTGTTTCGTTACGGTCTTTTCCTTGGAAAGGTAATGTACCAGTAAGCATCTCGAACTAAATGGAGAGGCAAATTAAAGACTTTAACTAGTATTAGTTTATTTATAATAATAATAATAATTTATGTACTATAACTAATCAGTTTGCTTAAATCCATCCAAAGATGCTCCTGCTCACCCCTTTAATCCCTTGGTTGTTTTGGGACAAAATGAGCACAGAGAATAAATCTCACACATACCATAAGAACGCCAAATGACCACCAGTCAGCGCTCTGTGTGTGACCTCTCCGGTTCACTACCTCTGGTGCCATGTATTCCACAGTACCACAAAACGAATACGCTTTCTTTTCTTGATCAACTGACTCTTTACTTAGTCCAAAATCTGTAAACAAAATAATTTCAAAAACATAATGACCTTATAAAAGTGCAAGTCGTGCCTCTTAAAGTGTATAACTGATAAAGTTATAATTTCAGTAAAGGCACATAAGGACTGATTAACTGCAATGACCGTCTGTAACTGATTAACAATGGTTAGAAAAATAAATCTAGATACTTTATGTTTCTCTGCCAAATCTATGTAACACTAGGAACTGCAAACCGGATTTAGCTATTTTAAAATTAGATCCATCAACTTCTAATGTGCTTTGAATGAAACTTAAAACAAAGGCCGATTGTACAACCGGATAAAGCATCAACCAGCCAGATACTTAAACTCCATTACACCTGATTCACAACCATTGGTTTTCTTTTTAGCAGCACAGCTTCAATATGAACTGCTGCAAAACACAAGGCTGGACTGCCATTTGAAAAACAGAATTCTTCCAAATACATGTCCCAGGTTAGGATGTGCATCAGTTTTATCAAAAAGTTCATACAGGGCAATTTGCTGGAAAAGTATTGCAGTGCTACAACACAGCAATGATCTATAATGCTAATAAAATTAGCAACATTCGTTTTTTTTAAAACTATGCTGGTAGAAGTCTATGGGAACCAATAGTCTCATTTTATATTTATTCTATTAAAAAATTCTTATTAATCCACAAATTAGCAGCATTTGAGACAATTAAAGAGAATGGAATTGTCACACACAAAGTAGGAAACATTAAGAAATATGAAAAAAATAAATGCAATCTTTTCTGAAGGTATTTTAATATAGGATTATAATCACTCCTAGACTACAAAACATTAATACAAATATCAACAGTGCGCATTCTCACACTTATCAGTCATCTACACAACTTCTAAGAGTCCGATATTTATTATATAAAGCTCAATAAAATAACAAGTCAACTTTTTAATCTTTCTTATTATATATAGCTGGTGCACTAGGTGTTGAATGTACCTACCTGTTAACTTGATATGTCCTCCTTCATCAAGTAAAATGCTGAAATTAAAATTCACATTCTCCAATATATGTACACAAGTTTGAATGAATGCTAGAAAAATTGAGCACATTCAGCATTTTGTTATTTGTAATTACTCATTACCAACTAAAGCGACAGTGTCGCAAACTACATTTTGCATTGTTTAGAAGATATTCATTATAAAATTTAAAAACAGACTTTAAACTGTCTTAAAATTCTACTTAATATACAATAGGTAATTCATGTAAAAATAAGTTAAGTTAGCCATTTAAAGTAATTACTAAAATAGATATAATGCTACATTATCATTTTAATAGTACATGGTGAAAATTATAAATAATAAGAAAATGCTAACAAAAATAAATAACAGATTTACTTTTCTGGCTTCAGATCCCTGTATACAATTCCCAAGCTGTGTAGGTGATCCAAAGCAAGGGCCAATTCTGCGAGGTAGAACTTGACATCTTCCTCAGTAAACATGACCTAAATGAGGAACTATATTGATTTACCAGTTTCTATGGCAATAAGAAGACAGTGACTTTGTACAGGTGGTTACTTTTATTAACAATGCAACATTTCATGTGTACAATTCTGAAATTCACAACACCATTTCAATCAGAAGAAAAAAAGTTAATGTGTTTCTCACTATGCACAACATCTTCTGGGCATTGCATGCTATTATTATTTGTGTTGCAAGCGCAGGAAGTTGTGGAGCCTAAACTTACTAACAACTGAAAGAAGACATGGAAAGTGAGAGCAAAAAGAAGAATGTAAAATGTAATATTCTTGCAGGAAATGAATTGTATAAAATTAAAGGTTTTTACTGAAGTTCTATCTTACCTCTTTGGATAAGCGTGTAAATACATCTCCTCCCCTGAGGAAATCCAAAATTAGATAAAGTTTCCCTTCTGTCTGAAAGGCTAAAGTAAAATTTTATAGAATATTAGCATTCAAAGTTATGAGAAGTGAATGCATGCATATATTTGACAATTTTGGTTGTTCACGTTACACCAGCAACAGATCCAAAATCAATTTAAAATTAGCAATTCCATGAACATTTTGAAATGTCTACATCTTTAGGAGAATGCAAATACTTTAGAATTCTTATAAAATAATTTTAGAGTAGAGAATTCTTAAAAACCTAATAATTGAGTGGCACATGCTTTATTGCACATTGCTCTCTCCCACTGAAATACAACTACCAAAAATCCATCTATTCGGCCACTAACCAAGATACGTGGGTTTGCCCAAACATTTAATCTGAAAATCCTTCATGGAAATTCACTCACTAAATTTTAATCGCCTTCTTTGTACTTGCACCAGATGGTGCTTTATGATGTGTGAGAAGATTTGGTGGGTGAAAATATAAGGAAGGACAGAGTTTAAATCAAAATCTGATTTTGTTCGTTCATCGTAGCCTTTGTCATCACTTGGTTCCATTTTGTCTTTTTTTCCCCCTATGATCTCATTTATTTATGTTTAAACTATTTTGCCTGTTATTTTTATTTTACTTTATTTGTTAATTTTATTTTCCATTTCTATTGTTTCCTAGCATTTGTATTAATCCTGTACAATTATTAAATCAGTATAAGCACTGAATAATTACAGAAAATGAAAAATATTGGTTCTTTTGACTTGCTGGACTAATATCTCAGTGCAATTACCTTTGGACTATGATTGAAGTCTGTGTATGCTGTTGAGCAGAAGCCAAACGATTTTGACCTGGTGGATTTGACAGTAGGACACAGCAGGATTCCTCTTAAGGCCTTATTGTCTGCCATATGGAAGCATTTTACTAATGGGACATTTTACTCACCAGTTGAACCAGAGTAAACCAGTCATTGACTGGGAAGACTATGTATATATATCTATAATATATAAAATTAAATAAGAGTTAATTGACTGCAACCCCATTTAAGGTGGGTTTAGAGAGAGTATGTATTCTTAAGAGTGGCATTCATTTAATACATTACATTTTAAACAAAAGTGAGCGATGCTATCATTCCTAATAATTAAGACTTCAGCCTAAAATATAATAGGGACAAGCTGATATCTGGACCTGTCACTATCATTTCATACACCCAGACTTCATGAGAAATGTTTTGATCATGGACTTGGAAAGATTATTTATTAAATATGTCATCCAAAATCTAAATCTATCATATAAAGAGTTGAGAACTTACCATAGTGTAATTTAACTATAAATGGATGGTTTACTTCTACTAAAATATCTCGTTCCATTTTTGTTCGAACACGATCCCGAACTGAAAATGAAAACAAAAGCCGTCAACAAAGAAGAGTGTCAATACAAAATTAATATCATTAAGAGATTTTTCAAATATAGGTAGGCTTTTAACCTAATGGTCAAGGGTTAAACCCATAAGATAACCTAAGCAAGCATTTGGTTTCACACAGATTCTAGCATTACTTGAAGAACTATTTGCATGCATTACCAGTACAAACTCCCACATCCAAGTGTCTTATTTAATACATTATATTTACAGTGAAAAGTGAAACAATGTCAACATAGAGTCCAAAGTCTATTAGCAACAACTGAATTATCCAATCAAACAATTGCCATCTGTCACAATTCATTTTACTCAGGAGTCTTAGGGATTAGATGCAAAATGTACTAGCTTTCATGAATTTCTATTCCACAATGAATAGCTAACCAATTTATCCTTCTCAAGATTCAATGACTTTTAGATATTTCAAAATATTCACTTTGTTGATCAAAGAATATTAGCAAAAGAATGTCACAGAAATGTTTGTGGTTTGATATAAATATTGAACTCTAAGTACCACCAATAGATCAGTTTCTGATGGCCACACTGAATATACTGGTCAGTAGCTGTTTGGGTTTTACACAAATATGGTGTGATCGTGTGAATCATTAGAGACTAGCAACCTAACCTTCAAATGCATTTTTGTTAGAACTATAACATTACAGCAAAAAAATAGTGCCTATGCTTGAATAGTTTTATTACTGTAATATTACTGCTTTGTCAATACTACTGATTGTACAGAACTGCTTGGCACGGTATTTATTTTCCACCTGCTGGCAGTCAAAGTGAAGGAAAAGTATAGATCTAAATATTTATTTAGTCACTCTGCTATTTTATTCTCAAGATCTTTCAGCACAAAGAGCAACAAAAAGCAGAAGAAATGGGAGTCTGACTTACCTTTCAGAGTTGCTTTCCTTAGCACTTTCATTGCATATAACTGTCCAGCATCAGGCCCTATTATTTTTCTAACCAGAAAGACCTGAATGTAAAAAAACAAAAAAATGTATTGAGTTGCTGTCGGGTAAATGGACACAGAAATTACATGATAGTACTTCCTGTATATTCCAGAACAACTGATAAATCATAACCATACCAAACCCTTTTCTTGAAGAGAGTTCCACATAATTTGATATAAAAAGTCAATACATTGAAGTCATCAGTCATCCATCACCTGGCCAGAATCAGATTTGTGGAATTTGTGTATCTGAACAAGCAATTCTTGCTTTACAATATCACTGTATTGCTGCTTGTGTTCATTAGTATGAAATAATAAATTGCAAGGACTATGAAACTAATGGGTAACACGTATAAATTATTAGATAGTCAGAAATGGAAACAGTTTAATAAAACACAAAAGCCTCTGTCTTTGAATACAAGAGAACACAAACTTTAACTGCAATGTGCATAAAGTAGTCATTACCAATTTACACTGAGCTCTGAATGGCTTTTTGCCTCAGAATTGTGAACACAATAAATCAATTTTCAGATCTGATATACATACACAGAAGCAACAAAGCATTTAAAATATAATTCACATTTTTTAAATAGATGTCTACAGAAAAACAGATCTGTCAGCTATTTTTCAACAATGTGGTTACTCAGCTGTGACCTGCAAGCTTTATGTAAGTGTCAGTATGTTTTGTGATGTCAAGTGTTTAGCAAACATAACATCGGAAAATGCAGTTTACACATTTACATGACCATTTAACTGACATTTGTAATTGACAAATAATTTTAAACTTGCTTTTAATTTTCAGACATTTTATATAAAGATCCGCATTCTCAGGCTCGATAATACTTGTTATTTCATACAATTTGTCACTGCACGCGATATATTTTTCACCTCTGAATATTAATCCCTGCTAATATTCACTCAGGGTGAAAATTATTTATGAATAAACTTAGTTACATATTTTACTTGTCCACAAGTCTGCAATGAAATGCAATTTACAATTAATAATAATAATAATTCTTGCATTTAATATAGTGCCTTATCATGTCGTTGTTCGGAGTAATTTACATGCAATGGAACACCACCTAGCTAATTCATCTTTGAAAAACTGCTAATCAAATTCTATCAACTGTTCATTAGTGTCTGTGGGGGCGTCTGTAACAGGATTGCTAACCTATTCAAAACTTTACATTAAGATCCAATATTATCAAAACTGAGCTAATATTTTAAAACGAGGATTTTCTACAGATGTAAAATTTTTAACACAACAAAGAACACAAATATACATTTCTGATCAACATTAGGGATTTAACCTGAGAGTACAAGGTTGAGATATTCTTTTTGATTGTGATGCCCCTAAGTCTCTGGACATATGCAGGGAGCCTATAATGCAATAGAATTTATCAAGTTCATATCAACTTGGGTAACTTCATTGCATCTGGAAAGATCTTACTGCCCGTTATATTAAACTTCCTAGTGGACCATTTATATCAAGTTTTCTGATTAAAAAATTGCAAACAAACAATTTTCATTTTCAAGTTTAATTCAACAACATAATATATCAACAAAGTCAACAAAAACACTCACTTTTCCAAAAGATCCCTGACCAAGCACTTTAAGCAGTTCAAATTGTGTTGGATCAGCCTTCTCACAGCCTTCTTTTACATGGTGTGTGATTGCAATCTCCTTGAATCTTCCTTCATCCTGAGGAGATACAAATGATAACCATTTACTCCATAAAATAAATCTTAACCGTATTTCAACATAGATAATCGCAACAACAACAACAACAACAACAACAACAAGATTCCATTTATAGAGCGCCTTTCACGTCAGGAGGACGTCCCAAGGCGCTGCACAGTTGGGTCATGACCCGAGCAGGGGGGAAATGGTCAGGGTGAGGGGAGGGAAGGGAGGGAGAGAGGAGGGGGGAAATGGTCAGGGTGAGGGGAGGGAAGGGAGGGAGCGAGGAGGAGGAAGAGAGTCGAGAGGGGAGCTGAAGGCTCGGTCAAAGAGAAAGGTTTTGAGACCGGCCTTGAAGGAGGAAAGGGAGGAAGCAAGGCGAAGGCACTGGGGGATGGAGTTCCAGAGCCTCGGGGCTGAGAGGCTGAAGGCCCGACCACCGATAGTAGGGCGGTTGGGGCGGGGGACGTGGAGCAGACCGGAGCCAGAGGAACGGAGGGTACGGGCAGGTAGGTAGGGGGCCTTGACACGTAACAAACACTTCACTACAACAGGATAATTCTTAAGACTAATACCAGATTCATTACCTATGGGAGGAAGAAATAAATTATGTAAAAGTACTATAATTTGTGCAAACATAGCGATCACACAAACAGCAAATCATTTCCCACTTAAGTAAACAGAAAGGCAAATCATTTGATGCATGGAACAAGAAAACCACTTATTGCTCCATTTCAGCTCAGAAGTTTAGGATTTTCAGCAAATCACTATAAACCATGCAATATACAAAGCAATAAACTTTGTTCAAGTGCTATCAATAGGAGAGTGAGGTTACAGCAATTTGAATATTTTGGGGGGAAAATAAAATCAAAACATCATAAAAATCATTATTTTTACATTTTCTTCGTCAATTTAAAACCATGCTGCAAAATAAGGCGTTATATTATCTGCATTTTTAAGTGCCAGATTTGAGTACAGAGCAATTTAGGAATGGCAGTTTGCAAACAAAGCTTTTCAATGGAGCAGATTTGAAACTGTCAGTTAAAGGGTTAGTGTTTAAAAAACAACTCATGCAGATGGGGACTGTGAGTCAGAATCACTGGAAATCAATCCATGAAAGGAAAAGACAAGCAATGTTTGACAGAGCTGTGGGTGCTGCATTATGCCCGTCTTAACAATATCTTTCTACAGGTACAAATGTTCGCCAAAGGCATGTTAAGGAAAATAATTGGTCAAAGATGCATAAGGAAGAGTCCAATATTTTGTAAGACATTTATCCTCTTAAGGAAAAGGTTTACTAATTTAAGTTAAAACTAGTAATAAGCCCAGTTTATGTAAGGCATTTACTGTGAGCATAAATGCCTTACATAAACCCAGTTTTATCCTAGATAAGCTCTATATCTTCTACAAATTGCAAATGGGCCCCAATCCAAGCTTTCCTCTTGACTAGAAGTACCTATCAAGAAATTCAAAGGCAATGATCATAGTCAATAGCAGTCTGTAAAAAATACTGTTAAATTTTATATGAGATTCAAAAATACCGATGTGTTATTGCAGAATAAGAAACCATAACAAAGAATGTAGACCAAGAAAACTAATTTTCTTACAAACACTGCCCTTGGGGTAACAGTACTTCTCTAAACTGTGAAATTAATAGCTTGCTATTGAGTTGCAATGTTTCACTGTAGAAAATGTGATGAAGCAAGCAGTGAGTGTATGAGTCTCAAAACAAAATACAAACAGTTGCATGTTAGTAATGTATGTGTGTGTGTGTGGTGGTGGGATAAAAAGAAAGAGGAAGTGATGAGAAGGTGAGAAATAAATTGGACTGTGCCATCTGACAGTGAAGCCTGAATGTTTTCTGAGCACATTAAGTCAAAATAGCAGTCATCGTTGCCAATGGATATTTCATAGTACATTATTCTGCTCTAATGAAAAACAATAGCATGAAATAACTCACACTAAGACTACTTGATTCCACACCATAAAGTTGTTGCATCAGAATGGAAATTGTACAGCGTGACATGCCCCACCACTGTTCTGCCATTATTTCACATTGCCAAAAACAATCTACATTTGACTGCCATTGACTGCTCTCTTCCTGACTGAATCCTCTCTCCCATTAATTATCTCCTTCTCCTGTACTCCAACCTCACTATCTCATGTACACAAAGACATATTTATTGTTAACCAGTTTATGCTGCTATTTATCTTGTTTCGGGTTCTATACCTTTTTCTTTTACCCAGGAGGCATGACTAGTAGAGGCTGAGCAAGGATGAACTATAGAGTAAAGAAGAATATCCCAGGAAATAAGCCACAGTAGACTTCTAAATTCCTTTCTTACTGAAGAAATTGCAGTTGTGCATGTGGAAATGCACCAACATAATCCTGTTGTATTAAGCTTATAAAATGACTTATGTAAAACATGTTAAGTAAAAGAGATCACGAGTGCATCCAAAACACAAGGGTTCATGATTACAATGTGGAAACAAATCATACCATTCCAATAAACATGCCAAATAGCACCTATTTTAGACAACTGCAACTGCACTACATTTATTGTATACTTTTATTGACTGAGTATTCCAATCAAAGTGTCCAGTACGCAAAATATTAAAACAGTGTTTGGAGAGTTGCTGTTGGAATAAATATTGCTGACATACAACAAATCATCATGAAAAGAGCTGTCATGCAACACAAAGAACATAAGAACGCAAAGTTTGAGCGAAATGCAGGAATGCTGCCATTTCCACTTTGTAGAGCTATGCTATCTAATACATTACTTGCCCAGTTGCTTTCTCAACATGTTTGTCCATCATTCATATGCAACCAAGGAAAAGCATAGAACATTTCCTCTCACAATGAGAGTTAAAGTTAAATGCTTGAGATAAACCGTGACAAGCAAAGTGACGTTAATGCTGATAAAAATCAAGCAGGAATCACCCTTAATAATTTATGAGATGAAGCTGCAAACATCAATGGAATCACTGCAAGTATCAACAGGAAATTGGGCATTTCAAACATCCAATCAAGACAGCTGTATATTAATCTAATCACAATGTTCAACATAACCCTACATAAATTATTAGTTTGGTTGTTTATACCAACATGAATGTTCTAAAAGAGAATACCATAATTAGACTCTGGAAATTAAGATTATTTGTAAAACATTCCTTGTGTAAAACATGGAATGCTCTGATCACCCAACTTATTAATACATCAATTATAATTTTATTTGACTCAGAACCTATTACTTTTTTCAGGCAATTTGATACATTAAGTGGAGCTGAGGAAGATATTTGTATGGAGTTTTACTCATTTTCTTTCCATTATTAGAAAAGTAGTATATTTCTTTAAAGGTACAAATATGAATTTGACAATTTAACGACTAATTTTTAATCCAGATTTCTTACACTAAAACAAATGCATACTTCAGTCATATAGTGAGTAAACATTTGAAACCAGCACAATTCATTGGCTTATGTTGTTCAAACCATATTTAAACTTGAAAGAAAATCTTCCAAAAATTTGAAAAAAACAGTAATGTGGCATTATGATTTTTGGGGAAACTACAGCGATTGATCAGTGCTGATTGAATTGAGAAGTCCCAATAAACTCTGAACTAAGTAAGAGGAAGCACTTTCATATGTGTGATATGGGAGCAGAAGGTTATGGAAGGGAACTCACTAGCATGGACTGGTTGGGCCGAGTGGCCTGTTTTAGTGCTGTACATTCTTTGTAAATATGAGACACAAGAATACGACCAGCCTAGAACAGGTTTAGAGTGGGAAGATGAGAAATGCACAGGATCAGAGAAAAAATGCTGAAAGTACTCCATAAGAGTAAATTGGTGGCACCCACTCAGCACTTCATTACAGTCTGGCACTTGTCAAACTTGTTTCTCTGAGAAACCGCCTACAAAGCATTTGCTTTCTCTTTATTGCCAGTATAGAAGTAGCTTTATCATTAATCGAGACACAATATATCCTATCAAAAGGTAACAGAGATGTTAATCTAATCGTGTACTGCAGACTATGACGTTACCTCCACATTCTACAACAGTTATGGTGCTGTACAAAGGAGCTACCCAAATGGCAACAACAACTTGTATTTATATAGCGCGGGGTAGTGGTAGTGTCTGAGCAATTACATTCCCATTTGCTAACTACTTACCAAAAGTCATATTTTTTCGTTAGTCAAAGCTTCATTGTCACCCTGAAAGATAATTTGTTGAGCTCTACATGTTGTGATCTGAGACAGTTATTAATGTCATCATTATTGGAGATAGTACTAACACTCTTCATTCAAGTTGTTACTAAATAGAACTTGTAATTACACTGGGTGAGCTCCTCATAAAATGTTTACTCCTAGATCGAGTCGAACCAGAAATAAAGTAAAACTTGCATAAGTCTGATCTGTATAAATCGTACTATCGCCTAAGTCTTACAGCTGCCCAAGTCTCATTGAATTTCCTATTATTCATAAATTTCACATAGCTCATATTATTATATTATTTTTTAAAAACTCTGATTATTAAAAAAAATCACAGGGAAAGTTTAGCTATGAATTCTTCTCATCTATAGATTTAAAAAATGTGAATAAAGCACTGCAAATTGAATAGCTTGTGACAATTTTCATTGTGCACAGTTCTGTTTCTTCTATCTCATGAATTATAAATTAAAGCAGCAAACACAAAATCATTAATTATGATACATATTTAATGTAATCAGATAAGCCTTCATTACATGGCACTGGAAGTTAATTACAGATTCTTTTGCCACATTACTTACACAGTGAGAACAGGTATGATCTTCCAACATAAGGTTCAACCACTATTTGGCCTTTTACTATTTACCTGAATGGCCATTTACCTGAAAATAAGATAATTTGAAATACTCTTTAACCCATAGTACTGAGAGTTAACACAATCTTAGCAACTAGTAATTGCCAAATTCCCACGATTAATCACAATGTTTAAATTGTAAACCTGTTTGCCTGTACAAGGATTTCTATTGTAATT